GGTCTGGGCCTCCCTTCTGAAGCTGCTGCCCCCGTGACCCGACCCCGGATAGGCGGAAGAAAATGGATGGATGGACGGATGGTTTGAAATATTTCATTAAATTGAAAACGAATTTATTGATTTAAATCTGATTAATTTGCTTTGAATCTATATTTTGTTGTATTGAAAATACAATTTGAATACTTTCACTTTCAGTTCTTCATGCCTGTCATTAGCTGCATTTGATAAAATTGATGACAGTATTTTATTACGTAGGCTTAAACTTGATATTGGGATTACAGGAACAGCTCTAAAATGGTTTGAGCCTAATTTAACTGATAGATTTCAGTTTGTTAATGTTAATAATGAATCTTCTTCTTACATCAGAGTAAGTCATGRAGTTCCTCAGGGTTCAGTGCTTGAACCAATCTTTACTTTATATATGCTTCCATTAGGTAAAGTTATTAAACAGCATGGTATAAATTTTCATTGTTATACTGATGATAGTTATATTTATCCATGAAATCAGTTGAATCCAACCAGTTACTTAAACTACAAGCATGTCTTAACGACATAAAAACATGGATGACTCTTAACTTTCTGCTTCTAAACTCAGATAAGACAGAGGTTATGGTTTTTGGAYCTGAACATCTTAGGCCCTCAAATGAATTTAGTTTCGTTCTTTTAACTTCTAGCTGATGTTCTGCTACATTTATGACTTATTTACCATTCTGCTACTTTTAGCTTTCAGCTACCRTTCAACGTTTAGCTTTTATAAATGGTTTTTCTAATGTCGCTAATATTTTGCTGATTTTTGCTGTAGCATTTGTTTACATTTATTCAGTTAAAGTTACAGTTTTGCAAGTTGTAGCATTTATTTTGGTATTTCTGGCTGCTATTTTTGTTGTGTTTAAACTTTAACAACTCTTCTCGTTTTTTCTTTTTTGATCAGGACATGAGAAGTCTAAGATTTGCCTACAGGAAAGAAGAAGGGCAGTCGGATGTTGTGGAGGTTCTGTCCAAATACACCTTCCCTATGTCCCATGGCTCGGTTAGTCTTATTCATGTCTTTTTTAAAGGGGACCTATTATGTAAAATTCACTTTTTACATGTTTTTATGCTTTAATTTGGGTTTGTACTGCTCCCAGAGACAGTCCAGTTACTGTGACATTTGCTTTGCAGTAGACTGAATGCTAACATGTTTTCTTTGTTGTTTTGTAGGTATTTTTTGCCTTCACGTACAAGGAGCAGTTTCCTGTGGACGCTTGGAAAGTTTATGATCCACAAGCAGAATACAGACGTCAGGTAATGTCTCAATCACTCACATGGCAGTGTGAAATACTGTTTCTATATGTGTCAATTGGTTCTTTTCACTCATAAGAAGTCAAGGAAGGGTTACTCACCTCCAAAGTTGGAGGGTGTAGAACACTCCCTGTCAGAGTCAGTTAAATTATTTGTGTTTATCTAGGCAGAAAGCTTAACTGGAAAATACATGTAAATTAAACGTGTAAGAAGGCAGAAATGTACCTACACCAGTGCTACCCCAGAGTTTATCAGATAGATCTACAAGGCCATAGTCCGCCCCATGCTATGCTATGCTGTTTTAGTGTGGTGGGTTCGAGTCCAAGTTGGGGTGACAAGAGTGATGCTCACCCAAGTGCAACAAATGGCCTGCCTGAGCATCACAGGTTCCATCAGAACAACACCCACGGCAGCCATATAAGTCCTACTGGACCTGACTCCTGTAGATTTACATATCTTAGGGGAGACCGCATCCAGTGCAGTAAGGCTACACCAGTATGGTAGGTGGAGAAACCGATGGCAGCTCGGTCTTGGGTAGCAAACACCGGTGGCTGGAACCCATACAGGACGTAGAAGGGAGACAGACCAGTGACATTGTAGGTGGTAGAATTCATGGCGTGTTCAACTATAGGCAGATTCTCAGCCCGTTTGGTGCCGTCATCTCCACACAGGATGCGCAGACGGGTCTCCATCTCCTGATTAGCGTGCTCCATCTGGCCATCATTCTGGGGGTGGAAACCTAAGGACAGACTTAATTCAGTATCAAGAGTCTTGCAAAATTCAGCCCAAAACTTGGAGATGAATTGAGGGCCACGATAAGACACAATGTTCTTGGGTATCCCATGTAGTCTGAACACCTCTTGAAGCATGATGGTACTAAGCTCTTTGGCTGATGGAAGCTTATACAGGGCTACAAGGTGAACCATCTTGTTGAATCTGTCGACTATGGTATGAATGACTGACTTTACCCCCAGACTGTGGTAGACCAGTGACGAAGTCCATGGCATTATGGGTCCAGGGTCGTGAAGGAATAGGGAGTGGCCTCAGGAGACCCACTGGTGGTCGGCGAGAKGGTTTGGCCAGGGTGCATTGGGTGCAAGACCCAACAAACTCTCTAACGTCCTTCTGCAAGGAACCCCACCAGAACTGAGACTTGACTACATCAATGGTCTTACCTATGCCCGKATGGCAAAACAGTGGTGATGCATGACAAAAGGAGAGAATCTTAGATACCAGATGGTCAGGTACGTAGAGCCGGCCATCCAGGCATTCACTTAGTGGTGGATGGTTCTGGTGGACCTCCCTGACCTCCCTCTCAACCTGTGTGACGGCCAAACAAACCTTCTCCGGAAAGATGAAATCCTCAGGACCACTGATCTGTTCCTTCTCGAAAATCCGAGATAAAGAGTCCGGCTTGCCATTCTTAGTCCCGGGTCTGTAGGACAGGGTAAAATTAAAGTGGCCAAAAAACAATGCCACCTGGCTTGGCGTGGATTGAGCCTCTTAGCTGACCAAAGGTACTCCAGGTTCTTGTGGTCAGAATGATGAACGGATGATTAGCCCCCTCCAACCAATGACACCATTCCTCAAGGGCCATCTTAACTGCGAGGAGCTTGTGGTCCCCAACATCATAGTTGCACTCTGCTGGGGAGAGGGACTTAGAAAAAAAGGCACAAGGATGGATCTTATTGTCATCGAAATGTTGACTGAGGACAACACCAATACCTGTGTTAGAAGCATCTACTGTACGTCTACAATGAATTGTTTCTTTACATCTGGAAATCTTAGAATGGGTGCGGTGGTGAACATCAACTTAAACTTGAGAAATGCCTGATTTGCTTTTCATTCCACTTGAAAACATTTTTGATGGAAGTGAGCAAATGGAGTGGAGCAGAAACAGAACTGTAGTTGTGTATAAACTTCCTATAAAAATTAGCAAATCATAAGAAATGCKGAAGTTGCTTATGTGTTTCAGGTGTGGGCCAATCCGAAATTGCAGACACCTTGGAGGGGTCCATAGAGATCTGGTCAGGTGTGATATGTAATCCAAGGACGGAAGTGCTGGTGGAATGGAACTCACACTTCTCAGCTTTAACATACAGGTTGTTTTGTAGTAGGCGAAGAAGGACGGTGTGGACGTGTTGGATGTGGGAGTCCAGGTCTTTAGAAAAGATTAAAATGTCATCGAGGTAAACAAAGACATTAGTGTTAATAAAATCTCTAAGAATGTCATTAACAAGGGCCTGGAAGACAGCAGGAGCATTGGTGAGGCATGACTAGGTATTCGTAGTGACCTGAAGGGGTAATGAAGGCAATTTTCCACTTGTCCTCCTTGYGAATCCTTACCAAATGGTAAGCGTTGCGAAGGTCTAACTTAGTGAAGACCTTAGTGCCCTGAATAAGATCAAAAGCGGAGGACATTAATGGTAAAAGATACTTATTTTTGATGGTTATATTGTTAAGCCCATGATAATCTATACAGGGACAGAGAAAACCATCTTTCTTGCCAACAAAAAAGAAACCAGCACCAGCAGGAGAGGAAGATGGACGAATAAAACCAGCCTTTAGTGACTCTGAGATGTAAGTGTTCATGGCCTCATTCTCAGGCTGAGACAATGGGTATAAACGACCTCTTGGAGGGGTGGTACCAGGTAATGGAGCAATTGCACAGCCATAAGGACGATGTGGAGGTAGAGATGAGGCTTTACTTTTACTAAAAACCTGTTCAAGATTGTGATAGAAATGAGGAACATGAGACAGATTGGAAGTAACATCCTTTATTTTTTGTTTAATGGGATGACCAACCGCAGACTGGAGACAGTTAATCAAACACAGGTCAGACMAACCCAAAATATTGCTGCTCCTCCAGTCAATATGGGGGTTGTGTTTACGTAGCCATGAAGCTCCCTACACAACTGACAAATCTGGGGAGTTGATTGACAAGAATTTATTAAACTCCACATGGTTACCACTAATACACAAACGGACGTCCTGAGTTTGTAGATTGGAATGGTTTAATGAATGTCCATCTAATGCCAATGTATTATGGAGCTTCAAGGTGGGAAACATCTGTATACCAAGAGGAAAAGCAAAATCATTATCAATAAACTCAGCATCGGCTCCAGAATCAAGAAAAGTTTTAACAGAAAACTCTTTACCATTGACTTGCAAGTTGGCGTTGATGCAGGGGAGACGGGGTTCCTGGAAAGAGGCTGCTGCTCTGAGTCCTTGGTTTCTGGCTGCTTTGAGGCTTGATCTTTAGGGGACAAGTAGAAACCTGATGGCCTGCTGCTCTACAGTGAAAACAGAGCCCCTCCTGACTCCTCCTTAACCTCTCTTGTTGTGAGAGCCTGGATCTCCCAATCTGCATGGGTTCTTCAACAGGAAGTGGGGAAGGCAGTGTAGGACTAGGCACCTGCCTGGGAACAACCTGACTGGAGAAGGATTGGGTGGGTTTGGAATTAGAACACTGCCTCACCTCTTGTCGGCGCTCATGAAGCCTTAGATCGATCCAGGTCGCAAGGTCCTCCAATTCTCTGAGGGTTGAAGGTGGGTCTCATGCAGCTAACTCATCCTTAATGTCATCACTCAGCGCCTGCCAGAAAATATCTTGCAAAGCCTCCTTGTTCCATCTACTATCTGCCGCCAGGGTGTGGAAGACAATGAGTAGATCGGTGACTCTTCGGTTTCCTTGTCGTAGTTTCAGTAACCCTCGAGTAGCCTCTTTCTGGGGAAGGTGGGGACTGAAAACATGCATTAGTTCATGGGCAAAATCACAATACTTATAACAAATCAAAGAGTTTCTTTGCCATTCTGCTGTTCCCCACAATTTGGCTCTGCCAGACAAGAGAGAAACCACATATGCCACCTTGAATCTTTCAGAGGGGAAAGCAGAAGGCTGCAGTTCAAATTGAATTTCACATTGAGTGAGGAAAGAATGGCATTGACCTGGTTCTCTATTAAAAACCTCTGGAGGAGTGAGTCTTGGTTCACTGTGAGCCATAATTACTGGTTGTGATGACTCGGGGTGTCCAGCAGATGGTGCCAGAGGATTGTTCCTGAAAACAGACGTGTGAGTAACTGCAAACTGTCAGTTTTAGAATCAAGAGAATATTAAACAGCTCCTGTTACAAGCTTCAAGTGTTGGCGTGAAACTCTTGCTGGCCAGATTTAATGTAATGAGTGGGTTGTCGAGTTTCACAGATTTATCAAACACCTGAGCAGTTTTAAAGGTTTTATTAATAAACAGGAAGCTGGATCTGGAACCAAGCGTCAGAGGGATCAGGAGCTCTGAACAGGAAAGGAACAAGTTAGTGGCTGGACTTAGCAGTGGAGCGGAACTTGCATGAAATTTAGCCACTAACCTTTTTAAGAGAACGTTTGGTCCGAGAAGATCTCTTGAATGACACGGACAGTCTTGGGTGGAGTCCACCGCCACTTCCGTGTTTGGAAAGAAACCTCTGGTGGGACTTGGAGGTCCAGGGAATATCCGTGGGATAGGCGGGGGTCATACACAGACAGACTGAGAGCAGAACCAGGTTAAGAGGAGCAGACTTATCTCGAGGTCGGAGCAGACGGGCGGTGGTCGTAATCCGAGAATCAGAAGGCATAACAAGACAGACAGGGTGAGAGGCAGAAGGCAGAAATCCAGGGTTCAGAGCCTGGGTCAAAACCAGGAGGTCAGAGKCCGTGAAAGTACCATTCAGGGGCAAGGCGAGAGMTGTGAAACCAGTGAGAAGAAACAAGGTCGAGACAAGGCAGGCAAGACGTGACATGAATTACTAGGAGAACCGCTCATAGATCTGGCACTGGAGCTGTGGGTGAGTGGAACTTAAATMCTGGTGGAAACAGGTGAGTGGCATAACATTGATTGTGGTTTTCTGTGACAGGAGGGGTGAAACAATGAGGCAGTGATTAACTATGACATGGCTTGGATCAAGAGCAGACGTGATTCATGACAAAAGCTCAATTTGAAACTCAAATTAAACGCAGGAAGCTGCTCAAGTACAGCTAAGAACATGTATTTTGCACACATGTGAAGTATACAACCTTTTAAAGCATGGGCCAATTGCAAAGAACCTTTTTGGAACCAAGCTTTATCAGAGTCAGTATCAAGCTTTATTGGCAATGGAACCTGTTATTATTATTTTGAAAATGATAGAGGCACAAACATTTGACACCAATTTTGTTAGATTTGAACAAGGTGATGGGGAACATCACTTATGTAAATCATCTTTACACTGTCTCATCATGTGTTGGATGATTTTCTTTTCTTAGGGTCTTCCTAACGAGAGCTGGATCATCAGTAAGGTGAACAGTACCTACGAGCTATGTGACTCATACCCTGCCATCCTGGTTATTCCCTACAACATGACGGAGAAGGACTTGCAACAGGTGGCTTTGTTTAGAGCCAAGCGTCGAATACCGGTGAGTCATATGATCAAAGCATTATACATTAGATTTAAACAAATTACAGGTCTTGTTAATACAGTTTTTAAAAATACAGTGGGTAAGAAAAGTATTCAGACCCCTTTAAAATTTTCACTCTTTGGTTCATTGCAGCCATATTCGAAAACCGAAAAAATTCATTTTATTTCTCAGTAATGTACACTCTTCACCCCATCTTGACAGAAAAAAAAACAGAAATGAAATTTATTWAAAAAGAAAAGCTGAAATATCACATGGTAATAAGTATTCAGACCCTTTGCTCAGTATTGAGTAGAAGCACCCTTTTGAGCGAGTACAGCTATGGGTCTTCTTGGGAATAATGCAAYAAGTTTTTTTACACCTGGATTTGGGGATCCTCTGCCCTTCTTCCTTGCAGATCCTCTCCAGATCTGTCAGGTTGTAAGGTGAACACTGGTGGACAGGTCTCCCCAGAGATGCTCAATTGGGTTTAGGTCAGGGCTCTGACTGGGCCAGTCAAGAATGGTCATAGAGTTGTTACAAAGTCACTCCTTTGTTATTTTAGCTGTGTGCTTAGGGTCATTGTCTTGTTGCAAGGTGAATCTTCGGTCCGGTCTGAGGTCCAGAGCACTCTGGAAGCAGTTTTCTTCCAGGATATCTCTGTACTTGGTCACTTTAATCTTTCCTTCAGTTGCAACCAGTTTTCCTGTCCCTGCAGCTGAAAAACACTCCCATAGCATGATGCTACCACCACCACGTTTCACTGTTGGGATGTAATGGGCAGGTGATGAGCAGTGCTTGGTTTTCTCCACACATACTGCTTAGAATTAATGCCAAAAAGTTCAATCTTTGTCTCATCAGACCAGAGAATCTTATTTCACACAGTCTGGTAGTCCTTCATGTCTTTTTTTGGTAAAGTCTATGCGGGCTTTCATGTGTTTTGCACTGAGGAGAGGCTTCCATCAGGCCAATCTGGATATAAAAAACTTATTACAATATATTTTGGTTATTTACACATTCATTGTCATTGATATACAGCGGGTAAACTAAGTATTGAACACGTCACCATTTTTCTCAGTAAATATATTACTAGAGGCGCTAATGACATGAAATTTTTACCAGA